TTCCTTTCCAATCTGGCTGCTATTTATTTCTTTGTCTTGGCTTATTGCCCTGGCTAAGACTTTTATTATGATGTTGTAATAGTAGTGAGAGTGAATATCCTTGCCTTGTTCTTCATCCTAGGGAGGCAATATTTTATCTTTCATCACTAACTGTGATGTTAGCTATAGGTGTTTTTGTCAATTCCTTTTATCAGATTGAGAAAGTTTGCTTCCATTCCTAGTTTGCTGAGTTTTTTGTTTTTTTTAAATCATGAATGGGTGTTGAATTTTAACAAATGCTTTTTCTGAGTCAATTGATGTGATCATTTTTCTTTAGACTATTTATTAATATGGTGGATTTTGTTGATAGATTTTCCTATATTAAACCAGCCTTGAATTCTCAGAATAAACATTACTTAGTTGTACTTTATTGTTATTATTATTCTTTTTATAAATTGCTGAATTCTGTCAACTTCTTCATTGTCAAGGATCGTAACATGTACCTTCTGTTATGTAATTATAGTTAAGTGGTTCCTGCTTTGTCTCTAAAAAAAAACTAAAATTTAAAAAGCCTCTGAAAAGCTATTTTTAGGATTATGACAGTGTAAATCTACTGTTCAGTATAGAACCAAGTAGAATTCTATGATTGCATTTCTTTGTGGAACCAGTATGCTCTTAACATCATAATCATATGGTTAATCTCCTTTTATACTCTATCAAGTTGTTCAAAATCATTGTTGGCTGATATCTTTCTTAGGCAGTTTTCTATTTTTCCTGGAGCTTCTGATTTTCTTTGTCTTTGTTAGGGGCAGAAGGGAGAAGAGACGTATTCTTTCTTCTCCTGACACGTAGTATATTCCAACTTTTTACACATTCCCTCTACTATTTGGAATTCATTCCATTCTTCTTAAATTTGCACTGGCTGTTTTCTAGGCCTGCTGCACAGCTGTCATCCGGGGATTTCTTTTTATTGGATTCCTGGCTTTGTTCCAGGGAAGGCAAGCTTTAAAACAGGAAAAGGTAGGAGTCTGTCAGGAACTATTAGAGGTAGCTGATATTAATAGCTAACATTTATTGAGTAATTACGAGGTGCCAAGCCCTGTTTTAAGCTCATTATATGGATTACCTCGTTTAATCCTCACCGCAACCTATGTGGTTATTATTATTCTCGTCTTAATTTTACAGATGAGGAAATTGAGGCCTAGAGAGGTCAGGTAATTTGCCTAAAGTTATACAGTTAATAAATGGTGGATCCAAGATCCCATTCAAGATGATGGGGCTCCAGAGCCCTCATTTTTAGGTGTAAGGAAGGGTTGTCTTCTACTGATGGAAGACTGATGAGCCCCTCCAGGCATGATTTACTCTACCAAGACCACTTGGCCACTGGTAAAACCGGGCTCAGATGTTCCCTTAAGTGTAAACTCATCCTGAACAGAATAATAAATTGTGGAGTTGGTCCTTCATCCCAGTCTTTCCACTACAGGCAGTCTCCGGGTTATGAACGAGATCTGTTCCTAACTGTGTCTTTAGGTGGAATTTCTAGGTAAGTCATAACAGGTGCATAAGGTTTTTATTTAGCCTTACCTTAGTGCAAGAAAAGGCTCAAAGCCTTTCCAGTGATTTAAAAGCTGCACCTGCAGCAGGTGAAGGTGATTGTGATGAAGAATTTGTTGCAAGTAGGGGTTGGTTCAGTACTTTCAAAGTGGGGGCAAATTTACATAACATTAAAGGGCAAGTACAAGTTGTCTGTGAGTTGGACGTTCATAACCCAGGGACTCACTGTACACCATATTGCCTTCTTAATAACGGGCCAGTGTACTTTAGCAACCCAACTAGCACCAACAGAAGTGGCTTAGGGAAGAACAAAGGATGTAGGAGCATGGACCACAGAGCCATCAGGCGGAGTGTGAAGGACCACCTGAAGACCAAAGAAGGACTCTGTTTGCCAGACAGGGAAGGAAGGGTCTTCCACTCTTCATCGATGCCCAAAACTGGAGTAAGGTCCAAAGGTGGTGGTGGAGTTATACAGCACATATTCTAAGCAACACAGGTCTAGTGACCTAGGGTCCCAGCTCGGAGAGATTTAGAAGCAGGTTCTGGAATGGATGAGAATACCATCAGACCTTGAAGTGAGACCCTCTCGCAGCTTTCCTTGCACTAAGGTGTGAGTCACTGTTTCTCTAGAACCCAACCAAGTCTAAACTTAACGACTTTAATTGGAGTCTCCATGCAAAGGCTCTAAAAAAGTGACAGTGAGAAAATAAAGTCTAGATCCATTTACATTATCATATATAACAGACACAATACTTCAGAAACATCTTGAAATTTCTAGAAATTTTGGAATATCCCCCCTTAGTTATTGATTTTTACCTTTGCTTCTTTTCATAATGAGCAATGTTCATAATCCCTATATGTTTTAGAGTCAGCAGGGAGGCAATATGCTGCCAGCAGGGAGGCATGGAAGGAGAGTAGGCGGCAAAGCTTGGGGAGAGAGAAGGTGGATCAGTAGGGTCGGCACACAGGAGGTTCGACATTACCTGAAGAGGGAGTTTCAAGTACAGGTTATTTACAGTTAAGGATATCAGCCACACAGTGTAGGGTTACTCAGCAGGTTTCCATTTTAAGTGCTCTCAGTCCTTCTGGCAAGGAGGCTCCTGGCTCACATTTAATGCACTAACCAGGCTGTTCTCAGAGTCCCTCTTCCCACCTCGGCTGTCCCTTTTGGCTCCTGGCAAAGGCCTAGCAGTTAGCTCCTTTGGCCCCAGTCTTCTTTGAAGCTCTACCCAGTCTGTGTCTACTCCACCCTTCTCTGATGCCCCTTCCCTGCCCCTCCTTCCTACTCCGGCTCTCACACACCTTGTGAAGCAACACCTCACCTGGTCCCCAGCCAGAGGGCAATTGGACCACTCTGCCCCCCCAGCTATAGGCCTGCCATGTATTCCTTGGGTATCTCACTGTCATTTTCCTGGGTGATGCCATTACTTCAGAGGCTGGACAGCACAGTGTATATGAGAGCCAGGCTTTCCTGGGCTCACTTCTCGGCTCTACACTTACCAGCAGTAGCCTGCTTCATCTTGCTGTGCTGGTCTGAACTCCAGGTACCACTAGTAACCAGTACCTGCATCATGGGATTGTTTAAGTGCACTTTAAATGAGTCAGTACACACAAAGTAATTAGAGCAGTGCCTGGCTCACACAAATGCCTTCACATTTCTTATTGTTACTGTTGTCATTGTTCCCCTTTGTATGTTGCAGCCCCTTCTTAGTTCCCTCACCCAGCCTCCTAAACCAACTCTGTGTGCACAACTGGCGGAGTAAAGAGAAGGAGGCAGATCTCAGCGAAAGACTGGTTGTTTCAAATGAAAGAGAGGAAGAAGTCATTGGTCCCTGTGCAGTTTCAGGCCAGGAAGAATGGGAGAAAGCCTTGACCGGGCATGGGAATGCAGGAGTACTGAGCTGGAACCATTGTGTTATATCATTAGTTATTTTATTAGTTATTTCATTCACTTGCAAATTAATGTTCCAGGAGGGGAGCACGATTCTTTTTTGGCAGTGCTTTTTGTCTAAAAGAAATGGAAGATATAAGATCTCAACCGGTTTTCGAGACATCGTTCAAGCGATGTATATTTATTAGCTATTCCGAGGGCCATGTCCCGGTCTCCTACCTGTGGCCTCTATTTGAGTTCTGAAGGCTGTTCCTTCCAGGTCCAGTGCAGGTTTTAAAATCACATTTTCTCATTACTTGAAATTTAATCTTAAAAGCCTGGAAATGTTGGCATAATTGAAGGACAGAGAGTGAAGCTGAATTGAATTCATATTTCGAGGGACAGAGTAACCAAAGGATAAAAGGTGTGAAGATGGTTTGCAAGGATCAGAGCTGCCTTAAACATAGCTTCTTCTCCCACACCCGCGTGGTTTTAAAGAAAGTGCAGGATTTATCAGAGCAGATAAATATCAGCTCAGCGTCTTCAGAATTCCAGGGGCAAAGGTTTATATAAAGTCCATTTCAACAAAATAATGATAGATTGCCCACATGGTGAAAAAAGCCGGGTATGCTGGTAATAAAAACATGAGTGATTTAGTTGTTGCATGCTAAGAGTTTCCACTTAAAGATAAGGGGTAAGGCCAATATATAAAAGCTATAATATTGGGCAAGATACGAATGGTGCTGTAGAAAATTAGAAACAGTGTGCTTTGGAAGGAGACAGGTCATACAGGGAAAAGATTACATCCAGCTGAGGAAGTTAAAAAAATTTGTTTTTTTTTTTTTCTTGTAAACTGTATTTAAGTATAGGGGTCACCATGAGTTGGAGTGACTACATGGCAACTGGTTTAAAAGGAAAGAAAAAGATTTGGTAGATATGATGGGGATGGGGTGGGGTGCGGGATTTCCAGGAGAAACAGTAATGTGAGCTCAGGCTCGGAAGCAGAAAAGAAACCCAGGAGAAGTCCAGAGCAATTGAAATGAGGCGTACAACTAAAAAATATGTAATAACATTAGGAAGATACCTTAGGTCAGTGCGGCTGGATGCCTTGATTTGGTAGAATGGGAGAGCCCCTGGGTAGTGCAAATCGTTAAGCCCCTGGGCTACTAGCTGAAAACTTGGAGGCTCGAACCCACCCAGAGGTACCTTGGAAAAAAGACCTGATGACCTACTTCCAAAAGGTCACTGCTAAAACACTGTAGAGTGCAGTTCTACTCTGCAACACATGGGGTCGCCATGAGTCAGAATTGACTTGATGGCAGCTGGTTTTGGTTTTTGGTGGGAGAGCCACTGAAGCATTTTCAGGAGGGGGGTCGGACAGTTAGTGCTTCGAGGACAATAATCAGAATAGGGTTTCAAAGATAGATTAGGATCCTAATTTTGGAGGCCAGCTAAGAAGTTTGGGTCCAGAAAATAAGTAATAAGGAAATTAAGGGGGGCAGGGGCGGGAGCAGGGGGTGCAGGACAATGTGTGAACGCTGGAGCTGCGCGCTGACAGCAGCAGAGGGACTAGGTGAGTGAGGGCTTGGGTAGGCACATGCAGGTGAGAAAGGAGAGACAAGACAGTAACTCAAACTTGCAGGACTGAACGATGAGGACTGGGGGTGGAGTGTTCCTACTAGCAAATGGAAAGCAGGAGACAGTGTCCGGGCGATGCTGAAGAATTTGGTTTTGGACTCTCTGTGCTTGACAGCTGAGAGGTGGAAGCAAGAGTCTGATTCTCAGGAGAGAGGTCAGTGCTAGAGGCAAGGAGCTGAAAGGAGTGATCTGCAGAGCCTTGACAGGTGAGGGAGGGTTTAGTTTGAGGAGAGAGAGAATGATTGAGAGTAAGACCTTGACTGATCCAAGGATAAAATCCTTGACAAATGGAAGAGCAAAAGGAACCCGGCGTGGCTGTTTTGAACTGAGTAAGAGACCAACAAACGTGTAGGAGAAAGAAGAGAAATTCAAGGGCCAGATATATAGGGCCTTGTAGGCTGTGGTAAGGACTTTGAATTTTTTATTCCGAGTAAGACGGAAAGCTATGTCAGGTTTAAGCAGAGCAGTGTGATCTGGATGGTAAGGGTAAACATGTTGCTCTAGGAACATAGCACTTCACCTAGCCTTCCAGGATCAGGAGACTTCTGGAGCATAGCCAAGAAACAAGTGTGAAAAGGGCAGAGAGATTAGTTCCATCTAAGGCCTGGAGGTGAGCTCAAGCATGGAATGTTCAAGGAATAGAAGGTGTGGGGCTGGTCACTAAGGGCCTTGCCAGCAACGTGAAGGGATTTAAACTTAATCCTGAAGGCACTTGGGAGCCAGTGAAGGTTTTATGTAGGAAGAGTGACATGGTAAGTGACATGTTCCTGGTAAAGATTACTCTGTCTGCTATGTGGAGGACGGCAAGACTGGTGGTATGAAGACCAGGTAGAGAAATCCAGAGGGGAAGGTAGCCTGCATCAAGACAGCACCACAGGGTTGGAGAAAAGAAAACGCCTCATTCTTGATCAGCTTGACTTATGTACATTTAGAGTGTAAGGAACAGGGTGTCAGTCCTGACAGACTGTAAGTTCCTTTGCTCTGAAAATGTTTCATGTCTCTCTCTTGGATCCCAGACTCTCCGTGTTCTCCTGCATAAAGACAATAGCAGCAGGAGGTGGGCAGTGCCATTCTGGGTGTCCTTGCACTTACCTCTTGCATTCAGCCTTGGTAATGAAATGCAAGGAGCCTGGCTGCTTAGTTGTGTCTGCCCACGAGTTTGGAGGAGGCAGACATAGGCTGAGGGCTGGAGTAATGAGCTTGTGGGCCTGGAAACCTGTGCACTGATTTTAGGTTTAACAGGCATATTAGAAAAGCTACCTTTAGGAGACTGCAAGGCTGGAATTATTAAAATGATAGGTTTAGAGCATCCTTGAGACAAATGTACTGCTCTTGGGATCAGCCCGCTAGATATTTATGAATATTTTTCACAGAAACCAGTATCAAATGGATGCAGTAATGATATATGGGGGCAAGGGGACACGTAGCAGGAGGATATGCAATTCAAAGTTTTGATATGGGCTGGACTGCCACCCTCCTTCCCCAAACTGTACTGAAACTCAGTCAAATCAGTTAATGCCTATTTTGATGGACTCATTTGTTGGAACAACAAATCAATGTGCAAACGCTTTTATAATTTATCAGGATAGGAGGACAGGTGTCTTGCCAATTTTTTATCCCAGTAGGAATAAACTCAACGGCAGTGGGTTTGGTTTGGTTTTCTTGACTCTATTAGTACTCTCGTTCAGTTTTTCTATTTCTAATCTTATTGGCTTACTCCAGTTTTTCCGGGCTTTGCAACCATGGGGATGGGCCGATTTGCATCACTATTCAACTACTTTGCATCTTTGTAGGATCCTGGGCTAATCGGTTTGAAGCCTGCTGTAGAGGAGAACTGAGTCAACAAATCATCACAGTCAATAACAGTGTTAACACGAAAGAACACGAGAAAAATTTGAACTAATGATTTTTTTATGGGTATATATCTGTCAGGGGAAAAATGTCCAGGAGTGGCTTTCTCTCCCTTGATTATATTCTTAGTAAAGTTGCCCGTGACTGGGATTTGCATTAAACGTCCAGTGTGTGTTTAGAAATATTTTCTTTCCTGTTTCTATATCTTGTAGCCACAGTAAAAAGACTTCTTAGGGTTGTAGAAGATTTTTAAGAAAGTAAATTATGGTGGGTTGAATTGTTAATAAATTTTGCAGGTGGAGTAGAAACGACTGTCATTGTGTAATATGATCTTCCAGGTGCAAATGAATATGTCCTTAGATGTCCTTTTGTACAAAACCCATTAAGCCTAAATATATTTAGAATCAAGTTAGCCACAGAATTATTAATGCCTTTCTACCTCACAGGGGAGAATGGAAGCATACGGTATTAACATCAGGTGAGGGAGAGCCCTCTAGCGGAAAGTCATCGGGGCAGACACTGGAACAGGCGAGAAAACCGAGACATCGCGGGAGAAGGAACGTTAAATTTAGCAGAGACAGTTGAACTGCATCGTGTAAACATGAATGTGACATGCCATAGCCCCTGCTGACTTGGAAAATTTTTATCAACAAATCTGTCATGTAGTCTCATCAAGAATTTATTGAGGCATTGTGCTAAGTGGGTACTAAAATTAAAATCGTGGTTTCAAGGACAGACAACATTCTTCATAGCCCTCACATGAAAAGCCTGGGATGGGCCAGGTTAGGGAGTGGCAGGTGCATTTTGGTAATAAATAGAAAATTCAGTCTAAATTGGATAAGATGTCCCGGCCCTAGTTAGGGATAGAGTTTTCTCATCATTTCAGTTGCTTCTTTAAGCAGAAGAAACCATTCTAACCTGGGCCACCCGTCCCTTACCTTCTCCAAGGTTATCACATTGGTTGGGCCGTGAATATATTGTAATTCATTGCATTGTTTATCTTATAACTAGAAAGAAAATTACAAGACGGTTTTTTCTCCTTAAATCCCTGATTATAAAGCATACATGAGATTGTAATGACAAATTTATACAAACATGTTCATACTCTCTTGGCTGTTGGTGCCTTCTTTTTGCCATTCATTAGAAATAAAATGAGAGGAGACTGCAATATCTTAAAACTGCAGTTTAAATGATTTATTGATGTGAGTGGTTTTTGTCTTAGTCAACGTTCTCAAGAGAAACAGAACCAGTGACGTATATATATAGAGAGAGAGACAGACAGAGGTTTACCTCAAGGAATTCGCCCACACAATTGTGGCAGTTGGCAAGCCCAAAATCTGTAGGTCAGGTAGCAGGCTGCAGACTTCTGCAGGCTTGCATCCCGAAATCCATAGGTCAGGTGACAGGAAGAGTGCAGGAACACATGAGGGAGAGAGCAAGAACACTAAAGAATAAGGGACAGGGAGTTCTGCCAAAATATTTATTGATAGTCTGGAGGCAGACCACACCCTACAGAAACTCCCCTTTAACTTGATTGATTGCTTACCGTAGATTACATTACGGAAAATGATTACATTAGATTATAGCAACTAGTCTAGTGTTTGGCCAAACCACTGGGAATCATAGCCTAGCCTAGTTGACACATAAAATTAACCATCCCTTTATATAGGGTGCTTCTAAGCATGCCATATAGGGAATACCCTTCTGCACATGTGCATTCATGCATGCATTCCTAAAACAATCCAGCTCCAACGAATGAGAGTTGGGACCTCTTGCTTACATCTCTCTTATTGAGCATCACCCATAAGGCCTTCTCGAGAGTTCAGAAAGCATGTTTTCAGGCAATGCTAGTACCCTTCAAAGTCTGCTTAAGATTCATCTGTAACCCATGCAGTATAGTCGCCAGTGAAAATGTAGACATGTTGGCACATTTTAGCCAGAACTACGATCACCTTTGTTTCTAGTCTGTGACACTAGAGAGTGTATGAGTTTCTAGTCAGCAGACCTGGTTTGTCCTTTCATGGACAGAGAGCAGCTATGGCAAGGTTTTATAAATCCTGTTTGTACTTTGGAAACCCTGGTGGTGTAGTCATTAAGAGCTATGGCCACTAACCAAAAGGTTGGCAGTTTGAGTCCACCAGGCACTCCTTGGAAACTCTGCTCAGTCCTGTAGGGTCACTATGAGTCAGAATCGACTCAATGGCAACGGGTTTTCATTTTTTTTTTTAATTTGCACTTCAGGGACCAAGTAAAGTCTCATATCTCCCATGAAGCCTGCTCTGCCTGATAAGTATGGCGTCTCTGAAGTCTCAGTGGTCTTCCTCTCTGCAGGGCCCATTGCTCAGTCATAGGCTGTGTGATATAGTGGCTTATCACCTTTGCTGTGGATGTCTGCTCTTCTTGGTACATGTGCATCTCCTTGAGGGCAAGGGCAGTGTCTTAGACATCTTGGATCTAGTTCATTCATTCATTCATTTACTCATCCAATAAATAATTACTGAGCTCCTATTTGGTGCCAGGTCCTATTCTATTCACTGGGGATATATTGGTAAACAAAATGAACAAGATCTTTTTCCTTATAGAATGGAGTCGTGGTGGGTGCTGGGATGAACATTAAACACATAACCAAAAAAAACCCAAATAAACATAAATTTATACCCTGTGATAAATGTTAAGGAGGAAAAGGGGATAGGACACACTAAGAGAGAACAATGGACGGCCTTATTTAGATTGGGGCAGGTGGGGGTCAAGAAAAGCCTCTGAAGTGGTGATGTTTAAGCTGAAAACTGAAGACACATAGTGTTCCCTGTACAGCAAGTGCTAAGAAGTATTTGTTGCTTTGAGGAATGTTTAACTGTCTATAAGATCATATAATATTAACCTTCTCAGTACAGAGAATCCTCCTGGCTGTGTCTTCCAATCCAGCTGCTTCTCTCCCCTTATTTGCCACCCACGTTCTTTCCGGTGCTCCCTGGTGCTATATAACCCATGGAAACCCCTGCTGCATCAGCTCAAGCTACAATGAAAGTGAAACAGTTGGACCCCAGTGCTACTTGCAGAGTTAGGACAAAGGTTATTCTCGTTCATATATTTAGGAAGCATTTTAGCTGTCTT